TGGTCAGAGCGAACGAACCATTCAAACCCTTGAGGACATGCTTAGATCATGTGTTATCGATTTTGGCGGAAATTGGGATTCTCATCTACCCCTGGTAGAGTTCGCCTATAACAACAGTTATCATTCCAGCATAGGGATGGCACCTTTCGAGGCGTTGTACGGACGAAAATGTAGAACTCCAGTATGTTGGCTAGAAGCGGGCGAGAAACAATTTGCGGGTCCCGAGGTTGTCCAGGAAACGGCCGATAAGGTGAAGTGTATTCGGGAACGCTTAAAGGCGGCTCAAGATCGACAAAAGAGCTATGCAGACAAGAAGAGCCGACCTATCGAATTCCAAGTCGGCGACCGTGTTATGCTTAAGGTGTCCCCTTGGAAAGGCATTATCCGTTTCGGAAAACGGGGGAAGCTAAGTCCCCGATTCCTTGGACCGTTTAAAGTCCTGGCTAGAATAGGACTTCAAGCTTATAAGCTAGAATTACCTCCAGAAATGACCGGAATCCATAACACATTTCATGTGTGTTATCTTCGAAAGTGTTTAGCAGAAGAGGAAAGTGTCATTCCACTTTCAGAAATTCGTGTGGACAAGAACAACCGGTGCGTTGAAGAACCGGAAGCCATCTTAGAAAGAAAGACTAAGATGTTGAGGCGCAAAGAGATTGTCATGGTTAAGGTACAATGGAAACATCACCGAGGGTCGAACATAACTTGGGAAGCGGAAGAGGATTTGAAGAGGCGTTACCCCCACCTCTTCACGTAAGAGGAAAATTTCGAGGACGAAATTTAATCCAAGGTGAGGAGGATTGTAACACCCGAAATTCCTTTTTTTCATTTTGGGTCATTTTACCTTAAATATCATTTTCTTAAATAAAAAAAAAAAAAAGAAAGGAGAAGAAAAAAAAAGGGGGGGGGGTTGTTACCCTCCAATTGTGGTTTTGACCTTAGGTTCTTGTCTGCTGGTTAAGTTTTGTGAGAGGACTTTAACTTTTGTTAAAGGAGGTTCAGAGCTGCACCTAGGGAAGGAAAAAAGGTTAATCAAAAGAAAAATAAAAGAAGAGGAAGCCTTCACCGGAAGGGAGGAGGAAAGAAAAAGAAAGAAAGCAAAGGAGGAAGGAACTGTTTCTTCAAGCAGAGAGCATCAGCCTTAGATGTGTGTTTGCTGTACTCTCGGACCAACAGCAACAACCATCCATCAGCCGACCATTTCTATTGACGTTTTCTCATTCCCGTCGCCCTCCCAAGACTCGAACGGCAGCAGCAGCAGCAGCAGCAACCTGCTGCCCGTGCATTTCCTTAGCCTGCAAGCATCAGCAGCAACCGCTGCCTTCTTTTGATCCACAGCCTCGCCAAACAGCAGCCTTGTGCTGCGTTTTTCTGCACCAAACAGCTCGCCAAAAAGCAGCACATCCTGCTGCGTTTTCCTTCGACTCGGCAGCAGTACCAGCAGAGCAACAGCAACACAGCCTGCTGCGTTTTCCTTCGAGTCGGCAGCAGCATCAACAGCGAGCAGCCAACTGCTGTTTTGTGTTGGTTTCTCTCGAACAGCAGCAACAGGAAAACAGCCCTTAGCTGTGTTTCCTCCGTTACGAACAGCAACAGCAAGCTGCCCGCGCAACCATCGTGCCTCGGTTCGCACAGCAGCGTCGCAGCAGCGACAGCAACACAGCAGATGTTGTGTGCTGCCCTTACTCCGTCTCGACAGCAGCAGCATTAACCTCACGGCAGCAAGGTCGTCGTCTCTTCTCGTGACTCGTGGCAGCAACTCCAAACAACAACTGTCCTAAGCCGGATTCTTTTGAATCCTTCAAGGTGAGTCCACACTATACCTTAGAAGCCTTATAACCAATTATTTGATGTGCCGCCCCCACCCCTTGCTAAAATGTTTAACAATTGACTTGTTTCGATCTAGATGAGAATTTTAGATTTTATAGACGAGTTTTGGAACCTTGCTTACAAATGCTAGTCGAACCTTTTTGGAAGAATGAACATAATCAATTAGGAAGGCATTGGTATTAAAATGTAGTAGGGTGAAGAACTCTAAGACCCCTGTGTAATATACCTTCGGTTTCATGCAAGATAAATGGGAAGGAAATTGCTTGACTTAGAATTTGTACCAAAATAAGGGCGACATGCATATGATGACACCTCTTTGAAAATACGATGAACATATTGCTATAATATGATGAGTTGTAGGCTTGGAAATCTTTCAATTATAATTGCGTGAAGTATGATATAAGTTGGAGATAGGCATTGTGATTAGTATGTGATCTCCAAATCATTTTCTTCCACCACTCGGTAATAGGCATTGTGATTATTATGTAATTACCGAGGTAAAGAGCTTATGATCACGAACGACTACATGACTGGTTTAGGTTGATGTC